ACACCAGTCTTGCAACAATCAGTCCTAGGATTGGCATTGCAAGTATGATCCCTGGGCAGCTACGCCTACCCACGCCAAATGGTAGGAACCGAAAATCAACCTTCCCACCAACGATGGCCTCTGTGTCACGTTCTTCTTCTAAGAATCGCTCTGGCCGGAATTCTGATGGTTTCTCCCACCATTCAGGGTTGTTAGCTAGCCACCACGCATTGACGACCACCTTTGACTCTTTAGGAACGGTAAACCCTCCTAGTTTTGCTTCTTCAAGGTTCATATGTGGCACTAACAAGGGGATTGGGGTGTGTAGCCTTAATGACTCTTTTATTGTGGCTTGCAAGTATGGCAGTTCATGCAGGTTAGATTCTGTAACTGGGCTTCCCTTTAGGACGGCTCTGATTTCATCTCTGATCTTCCTCTGAACAGTCGGATGATTGACCAGTTCAGCTATGGCCCATTCCATAGACCACAATGTCGTCTCTATAGCAGCAACATTAATGTTCTCCACAATGTAAAGTACATTTTCTTCACTGATTTCTCCTTTCATTTGAGCCTGTATTATGTGATCCATGGCACAGCTTACCTTGTGCTTCTCTCCATTGGCAGCCATTATTTTCCTGTAAAAACCACAAATTTAAGGTCAAATTAGAAATGTTGCTAGAAATCAGATGATCATTTTATAGAGAGAGAGAGAAGATTAGTGATTAATTACCTTCTTTTCTCAATATAATAGTTGTTGAAGAAAGCTAGCCTCCTCTGCTGCAAATCCCTGCACTTGTTCAAGTACCCCCTTAAAAATGGTCTAAGGAAAGGGATAAAATCTCCATAATTATACTCAAAACTTTGTGCCAACCGACTTCTCTCGGAATTAAACCTTGTTGCTTGAACAAACAAAGGGTCCTCCTGTGACTGAAATTTTGCATCAAACATCATCCTGTACATAATATTGTACAACATCAGCTGCAGACGTTTTCTAACAACAATCCCTTCGGTCCTAACCTTCTCATTGTCTCTAAGGTCATGGACCACAAGGTCCATTTCCTGTTCCCATGAAGTACTATATTGGTTCACAACTTTGTTGGTGAAAAACGGTAGTGTCATGATTCTACGCATTTTTCTCCAATGCTCACCATAGATCGTGAACACCATGTCTTGTCCATTGCCAGTGAAGATATCGAAGACAACGTTACGTGGGCGGGACCCGAATTCAACACCCTGTGTGTGCAGGACCTGGTTGGCTAGTTCAGGGTCGGATACAACAACTAAGTTCTTTGAACCAAGCTTGAGTAGGAACACAGGACCATATGTTTGTGACATAGAAGCTAGAAGACGGTGGTTCAGGTCATTGCCAACTTGGAGCCAATTGCCAAAGATGGGGTACGAGACAGGGCCAGGAGGTAGGTCGCTAGTTGAAGACTTGGTAAAAACGGAGCTAAACAAGTACACGATTAGTGGAAGTAGAGGGAGGATGACAGAGATGGGTAGCGGTGAGAAATATATAGACAGGTTAGGGCATGCAAACTTTATGCATGATACAGATGCTACTACTAAAAGAGTGAAACCCATTGATTTTGTAACAAAAGAAGCCATGGTTGGAAGAAGGGATGCTGGGAAATGGTATGACCTTGAGAGACGGGAGGAGGGAAATGGGTTTATATAGAGGTGGAGGAGTGGGGGTAGGAGGTTAGGTGGCCATTGCCAATGGTTTTGTGAGAGAATCCATGGGCTTCCTCAAATTCAAGGTAGGAAGGAGTTGACAGCTTTCCAAAAGTCAGCATTAAAGTTGGTTGGTGAAGAAAGATTAAACATGCGCTCTTTATTTGTCTTCAAGATTTGCCTACCAACTCCTCATGTTAATCTGCGTTGAGAGGTTGACTCAGGACCTTCACGATTTAAATCTGGTTCAAGCCGGGTTTAAAAAAAATCAAATGAAAGTTGACACGGCATAACTTATTTGCCCAATTAATTAATTAATTTATTTTTAATTTGTTTTTAATAAAATATTTTTTTTTGATTAATCCAAATCAATTCATTTAATTCATAACTAGCAATTATTTTCATGAAAAAAGTTTGCCAAGGAAGGGCATCTTTCTTTCCTCTTTTTTTTTTTTTTAAAAAAAAAAAAACTAGAAAACAATGCTTGTGTGGGAGTTTGTAATCTCCACTTGGAGAATAATTGCCAACGTTTAATTAAATAATTTATAATTAATATAAAATTTCGATTAGAACTACTATATTGAAGATACAAACAGAGATTAAATTAAACATATGATAAGGCTTGATTAATTTCGAACTATCTTGCATATTGGCAGGCATCCCTCTAAACCGTGTTCTTTGTCCATACGGCATGCTATCTGTTAATGGCTGAATTTTATAAAATGTTAGATTTTATAGATTTGGTGTATTATCAAACTTATTTTTCCAAGAAAATAAAATTAAAGATCGGTAAATAAAATAAAATTTGCATGGTTATTGTATAAAAAAATGGATAAGTTCTGCAAGGCTATTAAAGTAAAAATTCTTTATATTTTTTTTTTAAAATCAAATCTATATATACAAGCAAGAAATTAAATATTTTTATATTTTGTTAGAGGTATAAAAATAAAATGCTGGAGGAAACTAAAGAATGAAAATTCAAAATTCAATTTTATGATAATTTCTTCTGTAGTTTAAAAGGGATAAGGATTAGATAATTATTATTCATTTATTTATTTATTTCAAGTTTTGTTTTGTTTTTTTCTAATATTGACTTTCATTTTATACAGGACTGATAAGTTACCAATGAAGTCTAGGCTACTTATTATCATAATAATAATTTTTTTAAAGTGTTTTTTTAGAAATATATTAAAGTAATATTTTTTATTTTTTTAAAATTTATTTTTAATTTCAGCACCACAAAACAATATAAAAAATAAAAACACTTCAAACAGCCTCTTACAAGTTCTTTAACAGCTCCACTGGTCGGACTTCCAACTTCTTTAACGGCTCTACTGTTTATCCATTCGGCTATGGACCCAGTTACACTGAATTTGGTTACAAGCCATCATCTTCGAAGAGATCAGTCCGCATCAAATTGGAAAATGATTCACATAAGGCTCCTTGTCCTGCAATTCGAGTGGATGACCTTGATTGCAATTATCAATTTGAAGTTGAGGTTCAGAATGTGGGCAGCACAGACGGAAGTGAAGCAGCCATTGTTTATTCAAAGCCACCAGAAGGGAACTTATCTTTTGCAAGTTATTGGTTTCAAGAAGGTTTTTGTTCCAGCTAGTGGAGTTGAGAAGGTCAAGTTCGAGCTTAATGCTTGCAGGAGCTTGGACGTCGTGGACTTCAATGCATACAGCGTTTTTCCTTCTCTTGCACACACCGTCATGCTGGGAGATGGTATAGTTTTGTTTCCACTCGAAATTAGTCTGAGCTGCCACAATTGCCTAAGGTTGGACTTTCACCATTACCGAAACCTGAATTTCCTGAGCTGCCAAAACCTGAAGGTCCCAAATTGCCTGAATTACCACCTTTCCCCCATTTCCCCGAGCTTCCAAAGTCCACATTACCTACCATACCAGCTCTTCCCAAGGACATCAAGCCACCTCAGTCTACTACCAGTCCTTAAATGGCCACACCATTTCATATTTATATGTATTAGACACGTGTCGTGAAATAACTTCAATACGTGGATAGGACTCTCGTCTGAGTGTTTGTTATTGTATTATTTTACGTTGTTGAGAGTTTGTTGTGCTAAGAATTTATTTTTGGTTTGTGAAGCAATATCCTTTTATGGTGACGCTTGGGTTGTGCTTGCCAAGCCATGTTAACGATGACACACGGCTTTTAGCTAAATATATTTAAGGTTCTTAGAAATTGAGCAGAACCCAACTTCTTGACCCAGAAAGGCCTTGTTTTTAGGAGATAGAAGAAAAGTTTGAAGGTTTGAGAAACCAGAATTCCTTGTTTTTGTGAAAGAGAAAGAGCAAGTCGAAAGATCAAATTTCCATGTTGATGACACTTTGAATACCGGCATTGGTTAATTATGCATGCCCATCTTTCTTTCATTTTCCCTTTCACACTTCGAATATCGGCGTTGGTTAATTATGTATGCCCATCTTTCTTTCATTTTCCCTTTCTTGAAAGAATCTTCGTAAGATCTTTCATAAGAAGAAAAGAAAAAGGTTCAGATGGATAAATATGACTGATTTAATAATATATCCAAATCTAAACAACACAAATATTAAGAATTTATTCTGTAGATTAAGATTTCTCTATCATTTCATGAGTTTCTTATCATCTGAAAAACTTCAGATTTCTCTATAAATAACTCAGCAGACCAATTATTTTTCACATGCACTCCTTTAAAAGAAAAAAATGGCCAAAATCTTTTGTTCTCTTATTTTTCTTAGTGCTTACCTTGTTCTGACTCCTGGTGCTAGAGTTAATCACAGAATCCTACCATCATCTTCTACTTTGAAGGTGTTGAATTGTTCATCCTATCTCATGTTTTGTGCAGGAAGTTGCGGATTTCATTAATGCTTTCAATATAAGGAGTTGAATTGTCCATCCCACCTGATTTGACAACTCACATAACAATTTGTCCATCCGCAGGATCTGTTTCTACCTCTGTAAAAAAAAACAAAACGACTTTTAACATATAAATGATCAATTTAAACTGGCCATTAGACGACATATTCTCTCAATTAATCATCTACAAGCACAATTATTTTTAAAAACTCATCCATTCAAATCGGTTCAAATTAGCATTTATCGAGTCGGTTTACCTCTAACAAAAAAAAAAAAAAACACACTCTTGCATGCTAATCCAAGGTTTAGACCGATCCATCTTGCTTGTTAATTGGGAGTTTAGACTCTTCCAGGTTGAAAAACAATACAAAAAGAAAAAAATGTGGTTGACTTAATGATTCTATTCACTTCGGTCTCATCCAGTTAAAATTTGGCCGTCAACCCGTTTCCAGGTTTACTTGAATTAACCCTCCTAGCTATGACTCGGGAACTAATGATAATAAAAAAGAAAAAGAAAAAGTAAAGAGAGGTTCTTAGCTTTGGTTTGGCAACCCAAACTCAACTAGGCGGAACTTTCGATCTCACACACTCTCTTACACTCTTCGTCTTTCCTCGTTTCTATCGACAAGACAGCAATCCAAACTAAAGTCCCAACAAATATCTTCCTTCCTTCACTTCTGTCTTAAATACTCTCTCTCTTTCTCTCTTTCTCCCAGTGCTTTCTTTGTTTCTGAAACACCCCATCATTTCTTGTTCAAGGTAATTATAGTGATCATCATCTCATTTAGTTATGTTTGTGTTCATGTTGAAAGTAATGTGACTATTGTGTTGGTTGTTTGTTTGTGTTTTTATTTATTTTGTAGGCCTTTTGGGTTTAAAATGGAGGCAACGTTGCCTGTTTGCAAATCTGTTACCTCTACTCCTGTAAGTTGTTGTAGTCGTCGTCTTGTTTTGTTTTCTATTCTTTGATTTAGTTGTTTTTGCGTAACGGACTTGTTTTTTGTTCGAATTGTTAGAAATGTGTGTTATTTTTTGGTTTGTAATGTATTTGCTTTGGAATGTTCACTGGAAGGAAATGAATCTTGGTTTTGTTTGTTTTGTTGTTTAGTGGATGGTATTGATTATTGAATTTTTAGTGTTGGGTTTGGTTAGCATTTGTGGGGATGAGAATTGAATCCAATTCGGTGATTTACTTCTTTTTTTTTGAACAAGTATTCAGTGAATTACATGAATTGTAGTTATGTGGTGTTAATTCAATTCTGTGATTTTGCTAGTGTGTGTGGTGTAATTAATGAGGATCATTTGGGAGGGTTGATGAGCTAAAAGCTTCTTTTTTTTCCCATTAAAAATTTCGTTGGGATTTGAAGATAAATGATAGCAAGTATGTGTCTGATGCATTATAGCATGCATGGTGATTGTATGTTTAAACGAATTCAGTGGTGCTGCTATGTCATGCATTTTTAGTCTTGTGAGGTTGTGTTTTGTGGTGGAATAGCCTTATTGATGCTTATGTTCAAAGAAAAGCTTCACTGTATCTTTAATTTTCCCAGGTCCGTGGTTGTTTGCTAGGATTATAGATGCTGAAATAGTTTGTTTATTCAATGCGTTAGGGTTTATTCATGAAGAGAAATAGTGGAATCAGGAATTCTCAATGCAGCTTTATGGTGGGAACTAAGGTTAATTTTCCTAGACAAAGAACTCAGGCTACCCAAGCTAATCACTGTGCTAAGAAGAATGGAGGAGCTCTTGGGGTTGCATGTCGCACAGAAAAAATTCTGGTAGCAAACAGAGGAGAGATTGCTGTTCGTGTTATTCGAACTGCACATGAGATGGGGATACCATGTGTAGCTGTTTACTCTACCATAGATAAGGATGCACTTCATGTGAAATTGGCTGATGAGTCTGTTTGCATAGGTGAAGCACCCAGCAACCAATCGTAAGTGGTTATAATATCCTTACTTTATCAGTCACATGCATCACACATGGACATTTCCTTGCTACTAGTAAGGGAATGTTTAGGAAAAGCTTCCGAGTCTGGATCAGTGATCTAAAACAATTCTTCCCACTTTAACAGTTGTTACTACTCTATGCATTTCACTTCATGTCCAATTCATTAAAGCATTGCCCTACTGTTTTCTGATTTTCTGGGCAGTCATTCAAGTCCTCAGCAACAAATGAACGATGCTTTTAAGTTGTAGATGTGGAATATAATGGATTTATGTGTATGTTTCCACCGTCTTTCCACAGGTACTTAGTGATCCAAAATGTTTTATCTGCTGCTATCAGTCGTGGATGCACGATGCTGCATCCTGGATACGGTTTCCTTGCTGAAAATGCTGTTTTTGTGGAAATGTGCAGAGAACATGGAATAAACTTTATTGGGCCTAATGTAAGTAGTCATCAAGAAACTTAACAATAATAAAAAGTGAGATTTCTGCGATATCTACTTGATCTTGGCTAATCACATGTCAGCTATTTTCTTTTTAATTCTGTATGCCCTGAATTAGATGCTAAAATTAGTTCTTTCTCAATCGCAACATCTGTTTATGTACTCAGAAATCATGGTGCATATAGGGTGAAAAATCCTGTATTTTGACTATCACACACAGATTTGAACAGCCAATTCAATCTAGTATGATCCAGAATAGGGGTTATGGGTAACAGTTACTGATAATCTTTTTTGAAAAATATAATCCTGCAGTGGATGATATCATTTTGTAAATAGATGCCATTCGTTAGCATGGTATGATTCTGATTATCAAAGTTTGTTGATAGTCTTAATTATTTGACATGCAGGAAAAAGTATGTTGAGGACGGTGTGAAGATATATTATCTTTATGCTAAGTGATTCTAGAGTAGGTTATTAGTTTAGTTTTTCATCAAATATCTTGAGTGAAATACATTTTTTGCCACTGAAGGGTTGCCTCTGAAGTTCAATCTTGATTGCTTCTGCATGGAATGCGATTATTTACACAAATCCCATCTTGGGCAGGTTTTAGGATTGGGTACATATTGCTCCATTTCAGCTTGTGCTGTAGTTTATTCAGTGCATTTTTCTAGTTTGTAAAGTGGTTTCAGACACTCAGGTGGCTTAGCAGTAGAAAAATATTGGTTAAAATTGACATAATTTTCAGTTCTAGCACAAGAACAGTGGAAAAAAATGCAACTTGTCTCTCCAAGCTCATAACCAGTGTAAGCAAGTTTTTCATAGAATGCTGATTCATGCCTCCAACTTCATAAGCCAACTTGCCAAATTTTTTCACCGAGGCATACATGGTTCTAGCAAAATCGTTCTCTTGTTTTTCTTTTATTTTGATGTTATTTCCTTTTTGTGTTTGAAACCTATATTTTTCTGTATTGTAAATGGGGAAATTGACTGAGTTACTCCACTGGCATGTTTTGAAGTAATAGGATCTAGAATTGGCTGAAGTTTTACCTGGTCAAAGTATACTATGAAGCATGTTTATTGTTCCTGTATCACTTGCATAATTGCAAAAACTATGATATGCAAATTCTTGTTTTTTTTTTTTTGTGGCAGCCTGACAGCATACGAGTCATGGGTGACAAATCAACTGCTAGAGAAACAATGAAGAAGGCAAATGTTCCAACTGTACCAGGAAGTGATGGCTTGTTACAGGTGCCATGTTTGGCCACTATCTGTTTGATATGATTCCAAAAATTGGCATGAAAACTATTGCATGGCTTACAAGTTCTGTGGTTTTTTATTTGGTTAGCCCCATTTCTTTTTTTTCAATATAACAAGATGTACTTTGATGTTATCTGACAAACTCTTGTGCACCAATTGTTGTTAGAGTACTGAAGAAGCAATAAAGCTTGCCAGTGAGATTGGTTATCCTGTGATGATCAAGGTAAATAATCTTCTTTCATATGAATTGGCATCATTTATGCAGGTTGTTACATCATTGAAATTGCAATAAACACCATTGTGACCCTTCCAGACTCAGACAAATGGCAATTATGATTCACATAAAAAAGGATGGAATAGTGTTTTTTCCTTGCTTCTAGCTTCATCACATCTGTGCCATCTAATTTCTTTTTTCACACAGCAAGCAGTTTATTGAGCTCTCTACAACATGTACTGGAAATCTGCTCATGTATGTGTATTTGGGTGCATGTGCATGCATGCAGAAGTAAGCTAAAATACACTCTAATTAACCCTGCACAGTAGTGCCAAGCATTAAAACTGCAATCAAATAAAATATTCTTAGAATCATTAATAATCGGGATTCCTTGAAAATGATCGCTTGGATCATATATTGAAATTATATGTTTGTGTCAGTGATAAGCTATCCTCAATTGTATATTTCTCCATTTGGTTTCTGAAGAATATATAGAAGGAAAATTGTGAAATTTCATGACAATGGGGGGTCTGGACTGGCTATTATGAGATTGAGATCTCTTCGTCCAGTTCTAATACCATGCAAATGAACATAAATTAAGAAGCATAGAAACTTCTACTAAAAAAAACTATGTTCCTAAGGCAACAGCAGGTGGTGGAGGACGTGGAATGCGGCTTGCCAAAGAACCTGATGAGTTTGTAAAGCTGCTACAGGTACACTATTAGTATGGTGCCGTTCATTGTAATATTCAATATTTACCTGGTTAAAGTGTGCTGTCTTTAATTGAGTTTGGTTCACTTTCTTTGCTCTGTAGCAAGCTAAAAGTGAGGCTGCTGCAGCATTTGGAAATGATGGAGTTTATTTGGAGAAGTATGTTCAAAATCCAAGACACATTGAGTTCCAGGTGATTTTTGTTTATTTAGAGAGTATTTGTAATAAGGTTCCTAAGAATTATTTTGGAAGATCATTAAAGTAGAGTCTGAAAGTGGAATGTCAGAAACCTTTCTAATGTAAATGTGGGGGAACGAGTATCAAGTGTTTGATTATAGCAATCGATTATTCTTAGTCATGTAGAATTACCAGCTATAAGAACATAGTGCTATGAATGAATCAACCAAATGAGATTTGATTCAATAAACATGTAAACCTCATTGGACAGAACCTACTCCTCTCTTACACAACCTGTACAAGTAGTTATCACAAAAAGAGAAGGAAGAGGCCGGTTTTGTAATCTAAAAATGTTTCTTGAACATTATATTCATCTTTTTACTGTGGATAAAAGGCATTTATAAAGCATGCCTACTCATATTTTCAGCATAGAGTCTCTCCTATCTACAAATGTAATATGCTGTATGGTGAAGATAAGTAGAAATCCAAATCTAAATTCCTGAGCTGCAATGCTCTTCTGCACATGCAGAAAAATAAGCACTTTAATTTGCTTGGCAGAGAATCTGA